CAGATGTCGCTTTTACAGCAATAACATTAGTCCGGACGCTGCGCCGAAACCTGTCGCAAGCATCTCAAATGTCACGAGGCATCACCGCTGCAAGCGTCTCTATCAAACGTCTAGATCGTTACTTCAATAACACCACACCCTTGCGTTATCATCCAGTTGGCCCGCTTCATATCAGCAATGCTACTTTCAGGCGCAATAAGAATGCATCGTTTGCTTTGAAAGATATCTCTATCGATTTTGTCGAAGGTGGGTTAAATGTAGTAACGGGCCCGAGCGGAAGTGGGAAGTCAACACTCCTCATGTCGATCCTGGGCGAGACCATTCTTGAGAGCGGCGAAATCACATGCCCTAAGGATATCGCCTACGCGTCTCAGAGTCCTTGGCTGCAGAACGAGACGATTCGCGAGAACATTCTCTTCAACAGCTCCTTCGAGCAGGTACGATATGACCGGGTGATAAACGCCTGTGGCCTTCCGATCGACTTTAACGAGTTCCCGGAACGAGACGGTACTGAAGTCGGCGAGAACGGGGCCTCCCTATCCGGAGGTCAAAAGTCCCGAGTTGCTCTCGCACGAGCACTATACTCAAAAGCCTCCGTGATCTTACTTGACGACGTATTTTCCGCTTTAGATTCTAAGACTTCGGCATTGTTGTGGGAAGAAGCTTTCTGCGGAGATCTACGTGAGTACATTTTATTAGATTTGTATAGAATCCACTTCAACCTCATTTCCAAACGCAGGCCACCCTACCAAGAATATTTGGGTGTTGTCGGCATATTATAAAATCCCAAAATTCATTCTAGTCTGAGCTCTTCTAACCATCGAAATTGCAGTCAAAGGAAGAACGGTAGTGCTTGTTACCCAAATGCCCTGGATTGCGCCTCAGGCGGACCTCTCAATAACTTTAGAAAATGGCTCGGTCAAGAATATCGAACAGAATCTTGGCGTCGTTCGGAAATCCGTGACGCTCAATTCAACGAATCTTGATGATGGGAATATCGATGTGACCGCAGAAACGGCTACTTCCAACGGAGTCGAAGGCAACGGAAAGAAGTCGAACGGTGACATAAAGAGCTCTCAAGATAGAAACCTGGACGAAGTAACGCAGGAGGCCATGAAGACTGGGCAGACAGCTCGTCTACAATGTGAGTATTACCATCGACCATCTATATATTCCTCCAGCGGTGAAAATGAACTAACGAGCATATCCTTTAAGTCTTTCAATACATGCGGCTCTTTGGTAACCCATTCTACGCTATACTCGCCATAATAATGAGTACCCTTTCTACCGCCACGTTTGTGGGAACGGGGCTGTGGATTGCGGTCTGGGTTGACGCGTATGGGAGAGACGACGCATACGACATTGGATTCTATCTTGGCATCTACGCGTTATGGAGTCTTGCAGACGCCGTTTTCAACGGGTTAACCTACATCGCATATGAGAACGGCGGTTGGTATGCCGCGCGGACGCTGCACTCTACATTTATAAAGGCTACGATGAGTGTTCCCCTTTCCTGGTATAAGGCAACGCCTGTTGGTCGAGTTGTTAACCGGTTCTCTCGGGACATGGACTCCATCGATACAACGTTGGCCGGTAGTAAGTCAATCTTCGTCGGCCCCTATTTACCTCTCAGTCCGTTATCGCAGCATTAGCACTGCATATGCAATCACTCTAGTATCCCGCAAATCATACATCTATACTGCTACTGTGGCAATCCCTCCTTTGGAAGCTAATTATTTTTGAACATAGTGCTCCGATTATGTGTCGAGATGGTCACACGGCTCGGCTTCCAAATTGCAGCCGTCGGTTCCGTGCTTCCCATCTTCATGTTACCCGCCGCCGCCTGTTGCGCCGTTGGGATTGCCGCAGGAGAAATGTACACAAGAACTTCTGTAGCGATCAAGCGGCTGGTAGCATCTTCACAATCGCCTCTGTTCGCCCAGTTTGCCGACAGTCTAGCTGGTCTCGCCGTGATCCGCGCTCGCGCAAACATGCCCCAGATCTTCGGTGATCAACTAGCAGACAAGTTACGGGTGTTCGAGAAAGCTTGCGAAGCCCAGTACAATTGTAACCGATGGGTGGCGCTTAAGGTCGATATGGCGACCACCCTGGTCACAGTCGCCGCGGGTGCTATTGCTGTATCCCAAGCAGGTCTTGTAGCAGCTGGACTTGTCGGCTTTTCGTTAACAAATGCGACGGTAAGGCAGTTCTTGACTTTGAGGTTTATCAGACTTGACTTGCTAATATAGAAACCAGACACTCAGCCAGCTTATCATATTCCTTGTGAGGTCAAGTAATGAGCTTGAAATCGAGCTGCAGAGTGTAAGTTAAGCTCGGGGGTGCCTTGAGGGACATATACTAACACCGTTATAGTTCCATCGAGTTCGAGAATACGCCGCTGTCAAACCCGAAGAGAACCCAGATGAATACTCCAACAATCCCGAATCCGTCTTGCCTGAGAACTGGCCGACCAGCGGACAGGTCGAGTTCCGTAATGTAACTATTAAATACGACGTAGATGGGCCGGAAATCTTGAAGAATATTAACCTCAAATTTGCCGCTGGCGAGCGAGTTGCTGTCGTCGGACGTACTGGGTCTGGAAAGAGCACTGTAAGTCTACCTAACACCCAAAATCTAAATGGCGGCGTATTAACTTAGGATCTACTCGAAGCTGGTTTTATCTTTACTGCGCTTCACGAATATCGTTTCGGGGCAAATACTCTTCGACGGTGTAGATATCACCAAGTTTCCACGCAGGAAGCTCCGAGAAGCACTCACAATCATCCCTCAAGAGGCAGTCCTGTTTAACGGAGACGTGAGATCCAATCTAAACCCAACAGGCAAGATTCCCCCAGAGACGCTAGAGAAAGCCCTCCAGTACTGCAGCGGGATCGCTTCTTTCCAATTCCATCAGAACGGAGAACAAGTGCAAAACGGCAACGGCCGTTCTAACGGAATGAATGGTACCTACTCTGACGAAGTGCCGAGTGACATAGGAATCACTCTTTCGACACCGGTGAAACCTAAAGGAGAGAATTTCTCTCACGGTCAGCGACAGGTACTCTCGCTCTGTAGGGCTTTGGTGCGCAAAAGCAAGCTGATGCTCTTAGATGAGGCGACTGCAAGCGTATGTGTTTTTACTTTGCCCCCTTTAACTCTTACCGTTAACTGCTTGCATTAACCGATATTCCTACCACAGATGGACTACGAGACCGACCAAGGAATCCAAGAGGTCCTGAGGAAAGAACTGAACGAGCACGGGAGGGATAGGACACTGGTCACCATCGCACATCGCCTGAAGACGATCATCGATTACGACCGCGTGGTAGTTATGAGCGCCGGCACAGCCGTTGAGTACGTGTTTTTCACTTCAAAATGAAATTAGAATATCAGCTAACCAATTATTCAGGGTTGGAAGCCCGAAAGAGCTCTACGAGGCCAAGGGACAATTTTACGACATGATGAAGCATAGCGGGGAGTTTGAGGATCTGGAGAAGTTCCTTACCGCCAAGGACTAAGACTTTTTTTTCTTTTTTTCTTTTTTTTTTTAAGTCAACACAGAATATAGAGATGGACATATATAAATTTGAATAGCTGCAACGCCGATAGATAAACGAATGGTATTAAATACAAGTTCTGGGTATAAATGTTATCTACCCCTTTCATTCCTATAGGATAACTTGGGGTGATTAGGTGAAGTCGAAGTGTGGCAACACGGGCTTCCGCGCTTAACAAGGGTTTTATAAAAGCCAAGCCGCTCTCTTCCGGTCTGACTTATTGTCGGTTTGATTTACGCCGGGAACTTCGGGCGCAACTTTTATACAGTCCACACCACTATTAATGACAAGGTTGCATCGGTGTGTAAGAGTCGAATTTGACTATCGAGACTCGATGAGCAACTTCAGGGCTTCCCCTCCCCTCCTTTACGCTTGTTGGGAAGAGTCAGGCCGCGATAAATCGGGTACAGTTAGTCTTAGACATAGACTCCCGACTATCGAAATTCTTGGGACCGGTACCTATCTCGACAGTTTCAAAAGACCAAATGAAGCGCGGTAAGTCATTCCGCTGCTGTATTTGATAAGCAATGTAACTTGCCGCTTTATACCGGCCCTATTGGCTCAAGTAATTCTATCATCGCCTATTTTAACAGTCTCAGATGAGACCTCGGGCAGAACCAGAACGATGTTGAGGTAAATATCTCAAAAAGGAGACGACGACGTTCATTCGTTTCTCTTCTTACGCAATCAATCTATATTCATCACATCGCATGCACAGCAACCACGAACCCGCAAGCCTAATCTTTCCTATATCTATTCTCCGTGCGATGGAAGCGGCTGGAAGCGGCCACCGTGTTACAACGGCGGACACCAACGTCGGCCGATCGCATTCTCCTATGTAGATTTGTCCACAGACCTGTCTCAGATTGTGTAACTGACCGCGCGACCTCACTCTGCGCTGAGCTATCTAAGCGAAGTCAAGTCGTATATGTTTATCAGGTGATTGGGTATACGACTCGCGCGTTTATATTGTAGATCTTGGACATTTTAGGCTCTTTGCACGAGACGCGTTAGATATTGCTGGAGATATCGAATTCATACCCTTTAAGAGAGGGTGTCGATTCATATCCTGACCGCACAGCACGCTAAGTTCGGTCACAAACTCGAACTTTTATTGCAACCTCCCGTCTGCTGTGAAACAGAGATTCTGCGGGTGGCCTCGATTCGGGCTAGTACAGGTTTTGACGGATGATTTTGGAAGGGATTTATGATCATATGATACAGTTGCGTCTGGGAGATAGCAAAGGTACCTACTTTGATCCATCTGCGAGTCCCAGACACTCGGCACGGTATTACGGAAACAGAGCACAAGCGAACAGAGGATTTCAGTGGTCAATGATTGTCTGATTCTAGCCTCTCACACAGAAGCCGCCCTAGCCCATGCTGCATGCAGCATGCAGCAAGAAAAAAAGGAAACCTAACTGAAGCGAGAGCCACCGTCCTATGCCGTACCCATTGCCGGATTGGATGAACTAAAAGTCCATCCCCATCTCATAATAGGGAACTATCTCTAATGGCAATTTACTGGACCTTCTTCAGATGAACATCGCTGGAAGACGGAGGTTAGTATCGGGTATGATCTCGGACAACATGTCCGCTTTGACTATGGTACTTACAAGATCAGGTCAGCATTGGGGGGAATGTGACCGGTGAAGCCTCTGAGAGATTCGTCAGCCCCGCGTTTCTTAAGAATTGCCCCGTGGGGGGGCCGAGAGGGGAACGAGCAGGGTGGAAATTGACAGTTTTGCAAATGAAAATTAGAGCAAGGGAGGGAACGGGAGGAGCTTACCTGGCTCCGTAGCCGAAGTCACTATAGTGATATAGGTCAGTCTAAATGCTAACTACTAGTTATGATGGGGGGTAATATCGTACCTGGTAATGTCAAGCGTTGCTTTTTCGCCGACCTTCATCTGGGGAACACCCTCATCCCAACCTAATATGCAATACGACATCAGTGTCTACATGCAAAAGAAACTGAAATCGAAGAGGATAGCGTACCCTTGATGACCTGACCAACGCCAATCTTGGTGACGAAGTCACCTCGGCCAACCGAAGAGTCGAATCTGGTCCATAGGTCAGTCGACTGTTATGAGCCTCCAGCTATCCTTGACGTCAATGCCAAGCCAGCATTCAAATATCTCAGGTAGCGGGGCATTGAAACATTGGTACACTGCTGAACTCACTGGGTGCCCTTGTTATTCGGCTTGGAGGTGTCCTTGAGCCAGCCAGTGTATTCGATAGTAACAGTCTGGCCGGGAACAGGTTGAGCCCCGGTGCCCTCCTGAATGACAGTCTTTGTGACGCCCATGGTGATGTGGTTGAATTTGTGGTTGGAAAAGAAAATGTGTTTGAGATTTTTTCTTCTCCTTTCTTTTTTTCGTCAATTGCTCTGGTGAGTTGACGAAGCTACGATAGAACTGTTTTAGCGTTTTTTATCACTGCGGAGAAAAGCAGACGTGGGTACCCAAGAGGCTCAAGAATTACCTAAGGTAGTGGTAATAGTTATGAGTTAGGGTATTTATAGTGGGTAGAAGGGGGTAGAAGAATAGGAGGGGCTCAAGGACGACCCTTACTCACCTTGGTATAGAGTATCCAGGTAGACCACAAATAAATAAGAGTTGACTTGAATGGACTACGTCAAACAGGAAAAACTCGGGGGGTGGTGAGAGAGGAGGCAGTCCACCTTAAATAGTGAAAACTGGGGAGGACGAAGACGAGTATTTTTCGAGCGCCTGAGTCTCATGGATGAAGCACGTAATAGGGCCCATCAAGTACCTTAATAGGGCGTCAATATACATAATGTACTTAATGTAAGTAGTAGTATACGTACATGTACCTGGTACCTCTTACATGTATGGAAGCTAGCGTTATTGCATAAGGTTGTTACCCTGTCCCTCACCAAAATATGTAGGTCTTTACAATTGAAAGTCTCCAGCTTCCATTACTTCTAAGCTGTAAATAGTAGGTAGGTGCAAGGTGCAAGGTGGATGCTTAATGGGATGTTGGTGTAGGTTCCATGCCAGTTGCCAGTTGCCAGGTACCCGATCTACAACAACGTATGACAGACAGGAACAAACCCGAACATGCGGGCGAATAAGGTTTCCCCAAGATGTGAGTTTGTCCCCCTTTTAATGAATTCTTTCCGACAAGGCAGCAAGGCACACAGAAAGGTCTAACTTGATGGAATGTCACAAAGTACCTGGGTACATACATGTACGCATGCATACATGTTGTGATGGAACCTTACGTCAATCAACATGACAACCGCACAATACATTGACATATCCTTCATACGGAAAGCTGCTTGCGTGTATGAACTTCTCATTTTATCTCATACATTTTCATAAGCAATAGCAATAGCACCGAATTTAGCTGGAACTGTTCTAGGTGCTGAACACTGCCTCCTATCTACTTCATACATGCAGCTACTTTATAACTAGTAAGTAGGTATATGCAAGTATAGAAACTATTTGTTCTTGCACCTGCTAGAGCACACTAATCTCATTGCTACCCAACATATCTAGATGCTAGCTACCTGTTACTAATGTACATATCGCGCCTATTAAAAAATTGTGCTCGTCTGGGTTAGCAACACTATATATCTCAGATAGGCAGTCATATCGTGTGTGTTATATCGGACATAGTGTATATCAGGTAGTTTTATAGCTTCTATTTTTTCGTCAACAATACGGCATGCACAGCTACGTACTTAGACGGAAAGTCCGAAGAGAAAAGTACGGAATTGACCGACATAATGGCGGTAGTGCCTTCTGTTGTGTACGAATTCCGCACTGGAATACCTAAAATAGTCGAGGAAAGAACTTGTTGAAGATCTTTTGGGGTTTCGTGCTAGGGTTTCGTGCGGGGCTATCCGTGGGGTTGGTCGGCGTGCGGTCGATCGCTTTATGATAGATCCTTGCAGGGCACTTGCATTCTCCCACCTTTCCTTCTACCTTCTTTCTTATACGCTCTGCCAGTTGGGTCTATCTGCACGTTCTACACGCCCTACCAGTCTACACGTTCTATAGCGTATCTCATGTTGTAAGATACCCGAACCGTCTCGTCTAATGCCCGCATCTGGCGACCCTGCAGCTTCCAGCATCTCCTAGCTCGGCTAGGGTCCATACACGGATCCATACATGGGATGAGAACTGCCAGGCTGTCAGGCTGTACAATATGCGACGCTTCTGACTTGTTCGCTGGAGTAGGATCCCTCGGTGTGGCGACGATCGCAGCTTGCAGTCGCCGTGTTGCTTTGCTTGGGAACTCTGACGTTTTCAATACGCCTCCTTTCCTGTCTCTTGGAACTGGGACAGAATAGACGTGCTTGGTTTCGTCGCAATTCGCGGTTTGGGCTCGTGCTGGATCAGCTGATAACTTCTTCTGCAGCCTCTTGTGTTACTATGGCCCGCCAGCCGCTTTGCAAGGCACCTTGAGGCACTCTGAGGCACCCTGCGACCCTTCTGGCAAGCTGAAGGTCAACGTTACCGCCACTCCTCCACCTCCATCTGGCATATGCAACGCGGCCTCGGCCTACTACCTACTATCAAGATAAGGAGGTTGAGCTAATCTATCTCTACCTCGGGATATGAAGGCATCGTCCAGAGTAGATCAGTAGATGCAGGAGGGGTCCTTCGTCTCATTCCCTCTTGCTTGTGCGAATGCAACAAGACGTCAGTCTTCAGCTATACGTTTACCCTGCTTCTACCAATACCAAGCGATGGGAAAGGCGGGCGATCTGCAGGTGCATCCTAGCCGGTAATGGCGTCCCCCAACACGCTTTCGGATAGGTTTACAATATCTCTCGGCGTGATTGGACCTGTCGTCCATGTGCGCATGTGCGATATGGCATGGCCCGCCAGGAGAGCTACCAAGATCTACGCGGGGGACACTGCCCCTGCGAATGAATCCTTCGAAGGGTCCTGCATGTTCCATAGCACATGACTGACGCAAACGTCTGACAGGGAGTCGCAACAAGCGATACGGAACTGCATTTTCACCCGGTTATCCGTCCACCTACCCACTCGCGCCGCGGTTGTTATAGGTTCTACCAAGGAATTTTTGTATCTATTTCGCGCATAGTCAACTTGACCGCCTCCAAGACGCTGGGACTATGTACTGGGGCCTGTTGTTTCGGCGACGGAAAACGTTCCGCCCGTTCTCTTTTATGATATCAATTGCCGATCCAGGACCCATGGCTGGGGCAGCGAATAAGATGATGCGACTGATGCAAGGGATATAGGCATTCTGTCACATCTCAATCTGCTTGACATTCTCTGTACTACCATCCCACAACTCGCGGGGCGACGATTGAGAGGGTAAAAAGAAAGGTAAAACGAGGAAAACGTAGAAGCACTCTGCGAGAAACCGACACGATCACTCATCACCAGACCAACGCTGCACTGTAGAAGGACGCCACTGAATCGATTACCCGAAAGGGTCTTCGCTTCACAACAGTTACGTCACTGGGAAAAAGACACCGACGACCTTCTGACATCACCGACCCTCAGGCTCTCCTTGAACCCGTGCACGAATGCTACCCGGGAACCCCATTAGACGACGGATGCATAGAGCGAATAGCTTCCCATCATTACGCCACTCATCTTAGTAGGTGTATGCATTAAGCCATCGACTCAACTATATGTTTGCTAAGACCATGTGAAGGTCTTTCTATGTAGGTAATCAAAACAGGAGAGATCCAGGGTAACCTCCTAAGTGAGATCAGCTTGACGCAGCTACGCGAAATCTTAAACAAGACCAGGGGTGACGCGGCTCTAACCTTTATCACCACTATATGTAAGTCTCGGTTGTGTGCATGTACGACAACACCCCCAACGTAAGGGGAGCATGCAAGTTAGGGCGGAATCTAGATCGTAGCCCTTGACGGCGCCCTCAGACTCCCATCCTACCCAAGTAGACGTTTGAATCAACACCGGGGACTGGTCCCCGGATACAGCCGTATATTGGGCAATCCGCTGACGAATGATGTCATAGGCGAAATGATATATCTTCCATCAGACTTTAAGCCTTTCTCTATCAACATATGCTGAGCTAGAAAAAACAGGCTACGACGATAACCGGCAGCTACTCCGCTTCCAGCGATCATTGGCCGGAATAGCAGGCGTACTTCCCGATTCGCACCAAAGATGATTCTCGAAGGAGCTCATGTTAAATTAACCTAGTCGGCCGGAATAGGTGACTCACTCATGCATTGTGGTTAACGGTAGGATGCATTGCTGAGAGATCGATCACAGCCCTCGATATTAGTCTGAGAATCTAGTACGCCTTACTTCTACTAGTGCGCTGGTTAAGAGCTGCATACAGGCCTAAAGGGGGGGCATATATGCGATGGCTAGCTTTACGCCGTCATTGGAGCAACCCTCAGGCCGTACGAATCCCTCTTGGTTTACATACGGTATGCTTCTTAAGACATGGACAATTATAGAACTTCAATTCGAGAACTAAGCCTCGATTCATGCCTATTCGACCCCTTAGGCGTCTAGATCACAAGCTCCCATACGTCATAAGAAGATCGGCTGTGATTCTAGTGACGCCATACCAAAGACATTAGCAACGAACTCTACTTCGCCCTATCTAAGGAACGAGTATGGTGTGGATAGGGTTCCGGTAAACTCTAGCATGTATCCCATCTAGACCGCGGATTAGCGCTCCTCGGGTAGTTTGAAAGGTAACTGATATCTTGTACATAGGGCATGATTACACGGGAGCTCCAGGTCGATGGCCATGTCTAGGTATCAAGTACGGTCAATATGACAATGTTGCTTGGACGGTATACTGTACTTGTTTTGGGGGAGGGGGCCCCTGTTGATTATGCGTAGAAGGGTTCAAGATGTCCCGAAGATAAGTCATGGCACTGCTGTAGTAATGGGTGATTACGCAGTACGCCCAAGAGCTGCACAACGGAGAGAAGCAGCAGCCCTGCCCGAGCATCAAACCTATCATTTACTGCGATGGAAGTTTGTTGTAACAACGATAACTAGTATTGCCACCTATAGTAATGAGCCGATAGATAACAGTCTGTCATGCGTAAACGCTATTGCCGTTGGGATATTTTTACTTTGTACGGGTCAGAAATCAAGAATGAACAAACAACAAGCTCCCCCAATGATTGCGAGGATGATAGTTTCTACCGTTCTGCACAAACCGTATATGATATGAACTGTTCTTTTTCGTACAAGAAGGAGAAGAAGAAGAGCACCGGATTATTGCAAACTCGCCATTGAAACTTGTTTATCCCTATGAGTTTTTGTACACTTAAGCCTTAACTTGGCTACGATTCCCTCGCACGTACTGGGCCACAGCCCAGATTTGGCCACGTCATTACATACAACGCTACACTATCTTCTAGACATAGAAATACATTTATTCGTATTGTCTATTGCCGTGTGGTAGGCCCATTTTAATTTCTTGGGCCGTGGTCTTGGATTTGGCGGCACGGAACTAGGAGGTAGTTATTCTCGATTATACGCCAATTCATAAGGCCAGAAATTATTTCATTTGATGCTACTGGTTATTGCCTTACAATGCTATAGGAATAGGCCGTTGAGACCCTAGGACATGCCGCCTAGAGTTTCATATTTGTTCCTTATTGTCAGCGTAGTCCATTCAAATAGTCTCACGATAGCTTCACAAAGGCCGACAACCCCATCGGTGGCGTGGGAAAGAATTGATCATTGTTCTATTACTCTGTTTTCATCGATTTTGCAACAACTACTCATGTAGCTGAACACAGTTTACAGTGCCCCTAGGTAAGAATGGGCTGGGCAAAGACGCCAAAGTGCCTAACCTTAGGTAGATGATCACGAAAGCAACCGATATGTCCCTGGCCTGATTGGATACCTGGGAATATTAGTTAAAGAGATAATCCGCTCTCCATCTATATAATATGGAATTTGTATCCTTAACTGGGCGAATTGATATGTACTTGGCTTGAAATATACTTGACTCTCCCTTATTTATTACTTTTGGTTTGGGGATGATTATAGAGGTACACGTACGTGTGAATTGATTAATGTCAAGTCTAGGCAATTATAATCTATTATAACACATACAACGAGAGCGCAAACGGAATGATTGTCGGAGTTGAATTAATACGTTCTATTACTAAGGTAGGATTATATAGCGATTTTGTTTAAGAGTATATTTAATAGATATCGTATGTCGTTAGATATATGAACCTTTGTATTTGCCCCCAACACATGACTCGCTATTTATGACAGCATGTTATAGATGATATTAATAGCAGCATCTGAACATTACCCAAGGCTATTCCAAGATGCCAACTTCGGGCGCCGTGCCGTAACGGTACGCCTCTAGGGAAGTATGACTTTTTTGGCCTTATGTGTTGGAACCTTGGCTGACTACGTGCCCTTGTTTTGATAGACATTGGGGGAGAAAGATAAAAAGGAGAAAAAAAAAAAAAAACTGACAGCAACAGCGACAACAAAACTAAGTAGAGGACTACCTAATCTAGTACTAAACTAGGCATGCCGAAGTAACCGTAATCCGGCCTGTTGTTAGAGTGTCGGCGATGCAGACATTAGGGTTCAATAAATGGTGTATGTAATGGGGGCCTGCCCTGCATGCGCCAACTCCCAACTCCATGTAAGCGTAAGATTGCGATTCGGCCTAGTCAGGAACCAGAGCGGTGCTAATGTAGTAGCTGCAGCAAACTAACGCACTGGATGACTGGATGATGGCGCCTCTCGTCTTATTTATCCGCGTAAGCTGCAAAGCCCAATAGCTTAGAAGTACGACCAAAGGTACGACGCCATTTGTCAAGTATATACCTCTCACCTTCTTTATATAAGTCTACCAAGTATAAAATATATCGGTGAAATACGAACGGGTTCGCCTTACTGCAGCGGCTACTTACAGAAACAAAATGCTTCCCTTAAAAAAAAATCTCCGTCAGACGGCATCTTGTCGATCTTGTATAAGCCATAAGCCCACGAAGATCTTGTAGAAGTTTAAAACTCTGTACCTGGCCTAGGCACGGAAGATCGGCTATTTTAGCTATGTATCTAGTAAGAAGCCACGGTTAGATCTTCATAGGGCTTTTCGATAGTCAGGAACGAGATCCAAACAAATCCTACGAACCATCTCGAATTAATAAAATCAATATATTGAATAAAAATTTCCGCTCGGAGGATTGAAAGCCACGAGAACCCCAACTGCATGGTAGACACACGAGACGCAGGTACACACACACATACGCACATACGGACATTGTGCCGCGCGGGCAGGCGGGCAATAGGTACATAGGATAGCGCCTTACGCCACGCCCAAGTATTAAATCATTGGTGAGAAGATTCGAGCTTCCGGATCTGGGCCTCGGACTGTAGTTTATTTGCTGCCGGGGCCATATATTGTAAACAACGCCAGCGGCGTTTCTGTAGCGCCTACTTCCTCCGTTCTTACGTATGAAAACGTTGGCGTTTGTTACTTACTAACTAAGTATTGTACGTATACCTACCGCCTCATTACATAGTAGCTGTTAGTGGGATTGATCGTAAGAGATCCGATTTATCTACGATTTGAGTCAATAAGTTTCACAGATTTGCGCTGCTTGTTGCCCACGGGCCACAAATCACGATCTACTACACACGGTCCACGGATGTCTAAGCGAGTTGGAACCAGATGTTTCTCGTGTTCAGACCATGGGTTTGGACGGAAAATAAACATGGGTGATTTACACTATGGAGTACATAGGGGGGGGTGGGTGGTCTTAACCATAAGTAGGCCGTAACCTAGTAGGCTTGGGTGGGATGGGATGGACAAATAGGTACGCAGAGCGGAAACTCACAAGACGAGATACCAAATTTGTATTCCCACCGTAGCTGTGCTACAGCTACACATAGAGTCCTATGTCCGTCGGGCTGTGCTGTGCCTATGGACAGCGACCAATGCGTACACGACCTGTCCCGTTTCGGCTGGAGAGTAGACCTGAATCTGACATTGCTCTGATTTTGAAGCAATCGATGTAACAGGAGGGGGGAACTATTGTCAGCAACGGATACCGAGAGAGTGTGTGAGCGGAAGAGAGGTAACTGCTGTGCGCAGCTCTCCCGAAACAATTGACTTTCCAGAAGTTTTGAATCCTAAACAGCGACGAGTCCTAAACCCGGGGATCTGGTTTTGCTCAACTCTATGGCTTTTAAGGCCTTAAGGCTGGTCATCCGAAGCCGAAAAGCAAAAGAAAAGAAATACCTAGGATTGACACTGCCGCAATATTGTAGATAATCTAGGTAGTCATTGTCTGTGAAACGATATATATATTATGAAGAATAATCCGCCCCTCGAAGGATGCCATCGCATGTATATACACTGATACATACTACCTGTATGAGGTAGGTACTTGGGATCTTCTGTTAACTAGCACGTTTTAATCCGATGAAACGGGTTCATCGTTGACTTACTACAACAAGAATCCCTTCAATCCGACGGGGCCAACGCCTAGGTACTGTAATCAATCCCATCTTTCTCTCATCCTCGTTTCACAACTGACGTTGATTTGATCGTACCCAAAACTACAACACACCGCACCGACTAACAATTGTACACCTTCGCCGGACTGGCTGTCGATTTTTAATTTACTTGTCCGATGTTGGACGCCCGGTGAGAAAGCAAGCAAGCAATGGGTATTATCGCAACGCCACGGTAAGTTATTAAATGATTGATTTTTCAATCCATCCATCCATCCATCCATCCCCCCATCCCCGCCAAGGTGGTGCGCGAGTCCAAGGAAATTAATAAATTGCTGGAGGTCGCAATAGGGCGCAGCAGGTTGGGAGCCAATTGGATCGAGTAACGTCCGCTATTTCTAGGACAGCCGGTCCAATTAGGGGTGCATGAACCGGACAGGGGTTAAATATGCACTAAGAACCTGATCTAATTACGCGTCAGTTAACAGGGAAGACTTGGTTTTCCTACCAATTACTGTAGTAGTCACCTTCCTTTTTGCGGGTAACTAGCGCCATCTTCCAAGTATTTCAAGATGGACCCGTAGGTACTCCATCTTAGACGCCCTAGTCCCCAAGACCTGCTGCCCCTCCAAATCACGCCAGTGCCATGTACATAGGGATGTATTATGTATCGACCTGCATTGTGCAGCAGCGCGGGCGGGAACCTTTTTACAGCACATGTGCCCTTGCTTTCATCCAGCCCGCCTCTGCACGTCGGTACGGACGTCGCAGCCTTGAGATTGTTATTGCATTAGGTGCATATATTTAATCTGTACTTATGTACGTCTTAGGAAGTCGGGAGTTGGACAGCGAGGGCCAAGTTGAAAATATATCCGCTGCTGCGCACGAGGCATTAGAATCGCCATCACCTAGCCATCGCCATCATATTTGTCGCACAACATTAGAAGATATGGAACAAAATCCTAAAGAAAAAAAAGAAAAAAGAAAAGGGGGAAAAGGGGCTCTATGTACTTAGAATTACTAGACTCTGTCATTCCATTCAAGCTTCCCTCTTCTGATTCCCTTCTTCATTGTCTCTCTTCTACTTCATCACAACAGGATCTAACAATAGAAATTAGCACTATTGGAAATGTTTTGCATAGTACATAGGTACATAGTACGTAGTACCTACGCTTGTCAGTTCTGTCAAGGCTCAAAAAAAGGTTAGTCCTGGCCCCATTTCCTAAAGAAGAGAGTCCAATATCGCTCCCCAATTCAGCTAAGCTACTTATGTACTAGCCCCACGTAATTAGCCATCCCAACTCCACCCCTTCCCTGGCCCCCCCTGGTCCGTCTCCCCTGATCAATGAACAGACTGATCAATAACGAGGCACCACCCCTGGGATTTAGTGCCTTGGCACCTTTAGCCACGACTCCTCTTCCACACTTTCCCTCTCTCACGTTTCCTCCAGCTGCTTCTCATTTACCCCTTCGACCTGCCTGCCTTTCGCCCTCCACCCTACCTCTTCCGTCTTTCGCTCTTTTCCCTTTCGCCGACCTCGTAAGGTACACCTTTCGACGACAATATCCCCTCTCGGCGCTGGTCCTCCAACTACCTTGGAGCCTTGACCGCGAACCCGACGACTGCTTCGTAGTCGGTCAGCCACCGGCAAGGCCAATGCATCGCTGAGGAATCGCCCGCGCGATACGTCGTGAACGCTATACAATATACCAAATTGGAATCACCAGCCCAGATCTAAGTTGACGATTTATTCGTCGCGCCGCTCTTTTGAAAACAACAACAACAACAACAACAACAACAACAATAACAACTACAACTACTACTATATAAACAAAACTATTTTGCTTGCGAACAAGGTCAGTGAAGAGCGTATATCATTGGGAGTCATCGTCGTCGAGAGGATAGAAGAATGGAGCGGATTTCCTTGACCCACGCCTGCTTCGTATGGGGATCTGCCGTGGATCGGTCGTGCACTCTTTAATATTGCTGCGGATAGGACATAAAGTGCTGACAATCTTGCCCACAGCATCCACTCATTGACATTTTTTGTCAAGTACACTCGTTCCAAATTATCCTGACATAGTAGGTAGCCAAGTTGGATCTATCCCTCGCCATCTTGGTGAGACTAACACTTCGACCTCAGTTACGATTTTGCATAGCCGTCAATTCTCGAATTATACCCGCTGTAGCTAGCTGTCAGCTTAACGGTCGATCTGCCTGTCAAGAAGTTAAACCTTAATCTTAAGTCACCATGCATAAGGGGTCGTTAGTCGTAGCTGCTTTAGTGGCCGCTGCGTCGCTAGCAAGCGCCGAGCCGGAAAATAGACCAAAGATCTACTTTCCTAGGCACGTCAAGAGGCAGTATACTAATCACACCATTACGAGTTCGGCGTCGCAGAGTACCCAGAGCGAGTCGTCATCATCGTCGTCGGATTTGATAACTCATTCCTCCACGAAGAAGGACACGATTTCCGACTTGTTGTCGAGTCTTCTTGGTGGATCTTCGGATTCGAGCGATTCTTCGACATTAACGAGCTCATCGTCTACGTCCTCTACCTCGTCCGCCTTATCTTCATCCACATCGTCTCCCACTCGGATTCCCTCCGTGACGGGTACATCTCCTACGAGCGAATCCGGATCTCAGTCTCAGTCCCAGACTCAGTCCCAGTCGTCCAAGTCTCAGTCCGAATCTCAGACCCAAACCAAGGGTTCGTCTACTAAGACGGGCAGCAGCAGCAGCAGCGGCACCAGCGCCGGCACCAGCACCAGCACCAGCAGTGGCAGTAGTAGCATTGTGGGCTCTACTGGAGGGGTTCCCCCGCTAATTGTGTTACCAACACTTAGCTTAGATCTCCCGACGCTATTGCCGCCAGAGACCACATCTTCATCCGCTAATAAGACAGCGATCGCGTCATCGACAGGAACATCGACAGGAACATCGACAGGAACATTGACAGGAACATTGACAGGAACATTGACGGGGTCGACTACTGCCGCTCCGACTACGACTGCCGAGTCGAATAATGGGACTTCTACTATTGATACGACTGCTCTACCAGTAACCGAATCTACGATCGAAGCCAACACAACAACGGTGCCGTCGTCTTCTTCGGGCATTCTTATAGCTCCCACAGGCGTTGTGACCCAATCTTCTAGTATTCCGGCTTCTACGAGCTCAGATGGTGGACTTATTGGTGGCCTAACCAGCATTGTTGGTGGAGTTACAAGTGCTGTAGGTGATGTTACGAGTGCCGTTCTCCCGGCGCCGACTGCGAACGCTACGGAATCCGGCACAGGAGTGAGCACGAGCACGGGTACAGGCGCTTCTACCGGAACTAGCGCGAGCAGCACGGACAGCGGGTTGCTACCGACCCTTCTGCCTACATCTCTCTCTCTTTTCCCGACGACATCATTCCCTGGCACTGCTCCTACGGCCTCTACCGTATCTACCGGCTCTACCGCCCCTACTGCTTCTGCATCAAGCTCGGAAACTCCCCTCATATCGCTACCACCGATCTTAGGTACGGGTTCGTCAACTGTTTCAGTCCCTACGTCGATTATTGGAAACACTACGGAGTCAACAACTGCTTCGTCAACTGGATCCGGCAGTGTTAGCGTGCCAACCACAATTGCTACTCCGGTTCCCAGTAACAGCACAACGGCAACTGACTCTAGTAGCCTACCGACTATTACCTCTCCTACTGTGTCACTTAACTCTACGGTCTCGTCAACGGATTCTCTCACCTCTGTGCCTACCTCTGTGCCTACCTCTGCACCCAGTTCTGTGCCTACTACTGTGTCCACTAGTGCCTTCTCGATTCCTCTCAATACGACTGCTCCTCCGATTACCAGTTCTCAGCCGACAACAACTATCGAAACTTCCACAAGTTCAAGCGTTGAGTCTTCTCCCATTGCCATTTCGACTAGCTCGTCTGCTACACCTACGCCTACGCCTACGCCTACAACTACACCCACGCCTAGGCCGTTTACTAGTGCTACTGTGATAGCGACAATTACGGATTCCGAGTCTTGGCTCCCAACTACGATCATTGTCCAGCCATCTACTAGCACTCCCAGCACTGGCGTGACCCATACTGCTACAGGAATTCCAACTTCCTTACCAAAGGCCATTACTCCTTCGACGAAGCCACCGGAGCAGCCCGATGGCACAACGCTCATCCAAATCTCATTCCTGTTCGGTGAGAATTACCAGCACCTTGTGGAAGAGCCTCTGGCTGCTTCCCAGATGTTCGAATTCCTTCCCCAAGGTCTTGCGTTTGGTGGTGGCTATGACGTCAATAGGGTCAAGATGTACAGCATTAGGCCTTATGACACTACTGCTCGCCTGGGCTACATTACCTCGCAAGCCATGGTCTACTATCCTACTGAGGGCATTGCCCAGCTTAGCAACGACATTGGATACCCTACAACTCCTTTGTACAATCACCATAATCCCCTAGTCAAGAACTTGACGAGTGAGATTAATCCGGCCATTGGTATCATGCCAGGTGATTTACTTGATGGTATTCCCGATTCCAGCGGAAGCAGTGGAGATGGTTCAACCGACGCTGGTACTCCTAACAACAATGACCCATTTGATACGCAGGGTCCCAATGAGAAGACGACAAGCGCGCAACAAGGAATGACTGCCGGTATTGCTGTTGGTGCCGCCGGTGTTGCGGGTGCGTATGGTGCTGCTATGTTCATCATTGCCCGCCGTTACAAGCGAAAGAAGCAGAGGCACCAGCGAAGCAGCTCCGTAACCTTGCCTTCCGAGATGCGACAGAGCGGAAGTCCAGCTTTGATGGGTGGTGCGCTGCTGAGTCGGGACTTTACAAGCAATCCGGGATACGGTGGTGCTGGAGGAAATACACGTGACAGCCAGGGCAGTGGGAGGAGCGGAATGAACAGCTCGGCACGCACTGCGAACATCTCGGCGCCTGTCGCAGCTGAGAACTCTCTTGGCTGGAACTGAGCGATCGTCCATGACCTGCACGTCACATCCGTTTTATTTTTATAGTTCGATACCCATCCAGGAGGCGTTGCCAAGCCACTGTGGGCGGCCTGCCTAAGGAATTGCGACCCTTGTGAGCATTCACTTAGGTTTTCTTGTGATTTACATTCTGAGATGGTTGGCTTTGTCAAAGATATTTGGATATGCCACCGAAAAAATTAGCTACAAATCCTTGGCATCTATGGAGATCTCGGCCCATCTTTTGCTGGCGGGGGTCTGGTGACCAAGGTACTTTAATCTAATGCGTTTGTTTGCAGTTGCGGGAGTCGGAAGGGAGGCAAGATGCTTCGTGCCGGTTTGGAGTAGAGGCTGAAAGGAGGAAACGGATGCTGAAGATGGCTCTAGAGGGCCCGCGGCAACGACTGACCGTGGAATTGTATATTTATGACTATCACGCCTGCTCCGAATAGACACGTCCAATTCGAATCTGGTGTTGAAGGAAGATGGTTGAAAAAGGCAAGTCGAGACAAGCTAATAGCGGCCCTCTAGAGCCGTCGTGTGTAATGGTTGACATATACCACGAATAGACGAAAAGAAAATTATTAAAAGTTCCTTTGGCTGGGTTGCTTGTATATTGAGAGCTTAGAGCTTCGCGCTATGTTCTAATATCTGGCTGATATTAACTTGGTGTGAGTGCTTTGTCTTTATTAATGATTGAGATAGCAGCTACTATACTATATACCTACATGTATGTACTCGAGTTATTTATTTGTATGAAGTACTATATACAGCCACGCCTAAATATAACATCTCATTTGTTCCTACTTGAACCTTCTCGACTTTCTGAACCTTATGTACCTAGGTTAGGTACGGAAGTTTGATATGAGGTGGTTACTACCTGTACACATGTGATAGAGGTACATACCTCTGCAAGCTCGCCGGTAAATCTTCGGGGCTAACCTTGATTGGGTTTGGCTAAAGATTACGTCTCGCGAGTCATCCTTCAAATTTCCTCCTCAGTTTCTCAACCTCACATTGACTGTATAGCATCGCAAACTTCATAGCGCGCCCTCTCTTCCCTTTTACAAGAACTATACGAATCGTTGACTGTGCTATTTTCTGCTGCACAGTCAAAATCATACTCTCCACTTGTCTCTCCCGCTCTACTTTATGCAACAAGAGCTTTCCGAGTATTCAAACCAGATTCAACCGGACAGCATTTCTCAGTCCCCTAAACCACTCCAACAACATGGCTTTCGGCACCATGGTCTCAGTGGCAACGCCCACGGCTCCCTGCTGCAACAGCAGTCTGGTGACGTGTCGCCGCTGTCTGCGCGGGGAGACGCCGGCGCTGGAGTTAGCGGAGAAGGCGTTGACTCGGATTCCCTCCGGAAGCGATTGCGCCGATTGAACGACGTTCGTGGCGAGCCGGATGCGACGCGATCCAAGGCCCCAGGCCAACGGATATCAGCATACGAAAGCGCATTGACACCAGTCATACCAAGGCAAGCTCTTGGATTTAAGGTCATTAAACGCGCCGATGCGGGTTCTGACGGCGTCCAACTATCTGATTTTCCCAATGGTATGCCACCTTAATACCCCTCAACACTAGTATTTGGTCTAATTATATCGTAGAGATTCTAACGCATATCTTATCGCATTTACATCCCGACTCACATGCGTCTGTAGCCTTAGTATCGAAGCGATTTTATTCGTTGGTTACCACCCCTCATGCGTGGCGCATGGCCTTTCAGCGGTTCTTCCCCGGACAGGACGCACTGGTCACGGCTGTTAAGCCTCATGGTGGAGTATGGTACCAAGATGATTCGGACCTCGTGCGCTCAGAAGTTCGTCATTTTACGCGACTTACATCACATGCTTCCTGGCGCAGCGAGTATCTTTTGAGAACTCGACTTCTCCGTAGTCTTGTTAGGGGCAAGCCGGGATCGAACTCCGGAGGCATCGGTTCTTCCTTGAGGACTAGCCAATCCGGTAAGAAGGCGAGTGCGGTCCTGACTTATAATACCAAAGTCCCGACACCAGTGACCCATATTCATGCTACCTTTAAACCTGGCGGGAAGAAGCCGCCTAGGGTAGTTCATGGAGCATCGGAAATGGGAATCGCTAGTGTTAGCGACCCTACCTGTGGCAAGGTTGAGAAATGGGGTTTAGATGAGATAGGCTTTGCTCAATTAGACGAAGTCGTGCCGTCTCTTTTACCTTATGGGGTCGGCGAGGGTCCCGCTGCTGTTCCTAACGTCATGGACGTCAGCCAGCCGTATGGACTTGTTGCTGGAGAAGGCTTTCCTGGCGGTCGCGTATTCTATCGTTCAAGTGGCGAGTATAGGGGTAAACATCTTGGCCAAGAAACAGGACTCATTGAAGCCCATCCCGACATTCCAAAGATCCCAGAGCTCTCTGAGAGCGTCTGCGCAGTCTGGATCGCTAAATCCTCCGTTCTTCCATCTATGACCCAATCGTTGGTAGGAATCATGACCGGCTCTTCGTTGGGTGTCGTGACTTCATATGCGCTTGGTTGCGATCCTAGCGGTCCACGATACGCTGCAGGTGAGATGAGCGCCCGTTGGGTGCTGAGTCCAGGCGTGCCTATAATCGCACTCAAAATCGATGAAAGTTATAACCATAAGCGTAAAGCTCTCGGTCGAGTGTGGGCAGTGGCGCTAAACGCGCTGGGCGAGGTATACTACCTGACACAACCACCGACTGCACCTACCAGCAAGACAAAAGCCGATGATGTTGTCAAGCTCGCATGGCATACAGGTCGCTCGACTTCTTGGCATCTAGTGGAAGCCAGTCGGCGACAGGCACGTATGGATGAATCAGGTAAAAATGCGGTCCGCGGGGCCTATTCCCCAAGATCGCCCTCGAATAGCATGGGCCTCACCAAAGACCAAATGGCCGCAGAAGCTCGCGAGATCGAGAGATTTCTCCGCTATAAGCCAGCTCATTTCCGCAAGGTATGTCATGGGTGGGATATGCGTCGAAAGCTTGAGGTAGATTTTGCAAATGACGACGATCATGGAGCCGGTGAAAGCGTATTCATCCTCGATTGCGCGCTGGAGGAAGACCAAACCCCAGCTATCAAGAGGTTTCAGCGAAGTACTACAGGTCGAACCCAACCCAGCACTTGGCCAGTTACCAGTCCGGAATCCATCGTAGAGGCTGTCCCAGCCCCCTCCATATTCGGTGGCGACAGTATGAGATCGCCTTCTCCAAGTTCGTCTGGCTCGCTGTTACTCAAGCAAATATTGTCAGCTTCGGGCAAGTCGTCTCCGCCAAATATGACCGGTACTGGGAAGTTAGATCTGGATGATTGGTCTGAGACGTGCTTTTGCTCGAAAGAGCTTGGTAATGCACAGATAACTGCGAGCAGCATAGACGCTTCGCAACTTGCTCTGATCGCTTCTTTCGAAGATCCCTTAAAAGCCACGACAAGTTTAACTTCAAGTGGTCCATCAACGCCAACCAGGCAAGCACCATCGGATATTCCTGGTAGACGGGCGAGATTGTTCGGTGTGGGCACGAACAAGGGAAAGGTTATATTGTGGAATACGCGGGAACTTCATACTGGCGATGGTATACATCCTGTCAGAATTATTCAAACAGAGTCTCCTGAGATTTCTTGCTTGGCCCTGTCGGCTCTTTACCTAGTACACGGCGGTACCGACGGGCTCGTCCAAGCTTGGGATCCCCTAGCGTCTACATTAGAGCCTCTTAGGACCATCAATTCTCGGTCTCCAGGCCGGATGCCTCGCCATTTACTCCTTACCAATCCTGCGTCGCATACTACGAGTTTCTCGGCTGTCGGGGCTATCTACTTAGATCCCGATCCAACGGTCCTACATGGAATAGTGGCCTTTGGAACATTTGTGCGCTACTGGGCCTATAGTTCTTCAAACCATGCCACGGGGCGCAAGCGCCGGCATCGCCATTCCGATATTCACGGTCGGGCCTCCGGTCGACGTCACGGTGGTGGTGTTGAGGACTACATTGCGGCCGAAGCTGAAGAACTACGAAGTGAGCAACGGCAGAAGGAACGAGAACAAGCTCGACTTCGTTCCCGCTTCGGCGTTGGCTTTGGAGATTTGACAGAAGAGGAGGCTCTACGCTACGCTGAAATGGTGTCTCAAGAGTCTTTTCTTCTTGACAGGCAGCGCCGGATAAGCACTAGCGACACAGGCTCCGCTGCAGATTTCGATACGACGTTTAGTTCTGGCAGTACCGTCACTCCTGATCCAAGCGTAACGGATCTAAGTCCTCCGGTGGCTAGTTCCAGCGCTGATAATAACACCGCGGACGAGAGTGATTACGAGCGCCAGATTCAGGCTGCGATTCGCTTGTCTCTTATGGAGGGGGTCAACGACACGGGAAGTTCACCAAGGGCCAGTAGTTCTGGAGAGTACGCGGCTCCAATTACGATTAAGGATAAGAGAATCAAGAAATCTTCGTTCAGCAGCTCGCCTTCGTCGAGTCATACTCCAGTCGTCAAACCATCCGAATCCTCTAGCTTCGCTGCGACAAGCTCCAACCTGGTCGTCGACGACGATCTGGAATTTGCATTGCAACTTAGTCTCGCGGAGGAGGAAAGCAGGAAGGCAAGCATGGCGGCTTTGGAATATGTAGACGACGAATTCCCCACGCTCGGGGGGAGCGGGTTGGGTAAAGGGAAGGGGAAGGCCGTTTGATGCCCTGGCAGGGGAGGAATTACGTTCTTGGTATTATATTAGTACATATTGCGTTTTCTGATTGATTCTATATTTTCTCTTCTTGCCCGCAAAGAAGGGCTTAATTAGTTGATAGAGCTTTGCAATGCCTTTGGCTTTGTCCATACCTAAGGAATCGTTTATATTATTGCTGTGCAAAAAAATATCAAGTCTTGTTCTAGTGATTACGTAGACATGTCCTTAATATCGCATATATATACCGTACATTACTAATTGCCTATATCGTACAAGGTGATAGATGATATTTAGGTTGGTTTATCCAGTATCTAACGCCTAGGTTAGATGTTTATTCTTTGGGAAATATTTTCTTATTACATGTCGTACGTAGTTAAGTCTATGTCCGTAATTCAAACCTGAGGAAGCACACAATCAATCACCAAATAGCCCATGACAATAGACAGCATGCTTAAGAGAGCGATCTCTATTTTTCCTATTTTCTGTAGCTCGGTACCTAGGCATAGCCAGCTTTGTCTATACCAAACGCCGCACGCGGCGGATAACACAACGCGTGCCCTCGTAGCATCAGCACCGTGGTGGTATCAGTAGTCACTCCGTGCTTCCACCCCATCATAGATCCATCCATCCGTAGGCGATCGACGCTCCGCCCGTCTCCTCGTTGCG